CGAACTTACGTATTTTTACGACGGAAAATATATCGAGCAATATTTATCGGGCTTGGAAATTGTGAAAAAATGTCGCTTATATTAAGGAGAAAAGGAGAGAAGATTATATTTGAACTTCTGAATTGAAATTTTGATCGTGGTAAGAAAGACTAGTCAATAAGGGCCGTCCGCCAGATATAGAACGCGATAATTTGATCAAACAGGAGGAGAATAAGATAAAATTGTTCAATAGCGTAACGTACGTGCCGAAGGCATTTTTCGGAATTTTCTACATACGCGGGACATTAATTAATTTAACACCGCGTCGTAGACGTGGAATTCCGTATCTCGATTATATAATTTTATTGTATTGTGAGTGATATCATACTTAATTTCTTATCCTTTTCCTCACCAACCCTGTACGCCCCCAATGTTTATAAGAAAATAATAGTATTACTCACGAAGCATGCGGAAGATCTTAACAAACGTTACGAACTCTAGTGGATGAATATTTATCTCCAGAACGAATCCAGGATTTTTAAATTGCGACGCGAAACTTCGGTGCTTTCGAGAAGTTGATGGCCGTCCACAACTTTTCATGGGACGCGCGTGTAATTTTAACACCGCTGAGCGTCTCAACGGACGCTGATATCTGCTACGTTATTTAGACCGCAAACCGTTCTTTTTTTTTACGCTGTGAATGTGGAGCAACGACGCGAGATTTAGTTATCGCGAAAAATCTCGATGAGGAATGAAACTTTTTTCTTAACTGCTTAACTATTGTATCTTATGCAGAACATTTTATAAGATTCGTATAAATTGTCTACAGCAGCTTTATCGCTTTGAACATCTAAAGTCAAGTTTTTTCTCCGGAAAATTTCAATCGGGCAATAACTAATTATTTAACATCGATGGCAGACGACAATCGCTAATTGAAAGTCAAAGGAACTTGATATCGTTGACCGATCAGAAGAACAATCATTTCTTTTCGTTAGTCGAGTGTTGTTGATCAGCCGAGTTATTTCGTGTTTCGATAACGGTTTATTAAAAAAAAGCAAAAAAAAGTTGGGAACAAACGTTGGACAATATTGAAAGTAGCCGTCAACAATGTGTTGATCAATATTGGCTTAGGAAAACAACCGTTAAAAACACAGCGTTAATTATTGCACAAAACAGTCGATCAACGATGTGTTGAGAACGCTGTAAATGTTATCAGCATGAAACTATTTATGAGCTAAATGCATGCAATGAACATTCACTGAAGTATTAAAAGGATGTCAAAAATTGACGATGGACTTGATAAGCGTCGATAACGCGATTGAAGCGATTCTCAAAATGTTACGTTACGTAAACATTGGCACGATCGCACTACTCTTTTTGTATATTTCTCGTATAGATAAATTTTACATAAATGCAAATGCGATATAAATATTAATGCAACGGATGCGTGTCACTCTGCTTTATAATATCTAACGGGAAATCTAACTAAGATATAGAAAAAATGTTTCTGCGAACTTCTCGTACCTTTTTGGGCCGTCATATTTCATAGATAAGATGTAAAAGCGTTCCTTGAAAATATCCCGATTGGAGCATTGACACATTCAGTGTGTACAAACTGCAGAATTTCTCTATCGGGCAAATATTTATGCCAACTGACAGCTAGAAATGTCAATTTTGGTAGAGGACTTTTATATTGACCTAAACTATAAATACATAACTTATGATGAATGAAACATTTAGCGACACTCTATAGAAGCCTCGGACAATTACACGGCAACCGGGCTCGGCGACTTTCGACTCGACTGGAAAATTCAGGGTCGTTTGCGCGGGAGAGCTGGCTGAGTTCGTAAGGTCGTATCGTCGTGTCCCACGACGTTCCCCGTCTTTTTCCGGCCACGTACGGTGCACGTACATGGTTGGCTTTAGCAGACGGTGGAAAGACCAATCGGTCGGAAGAGGGTGGATCGGTCGCGCGGGAGTCGGGAAGAAATACAGCGCGGCATAAACGCTCTGTCGGACTTACCGGCCTTCACCGTGATTTCACGGCCGAGCACTTTCCCGACACTGTTCGACGCCTGGCAGCGGTAGACGGCCGAGTGCACGTCGTGCCGGTAGCTCTCGGCGCCGAACGGCAGGAAGTACATGGAGCCGTTCACCAGCATCTCACGGATGTGCGGTATCGGCAGTACCGGCGAGCCGTCGCCCATCAGCCAGTCTATCCTCGGCGATGGGCTGCCGTGGGCCGAACAGTGGATCATCGCCCCCGTGTCGTTCGAGAATTCCACGCTCGAGCGCGGTTCCGAGACCAGCACCGGCCCTTGACTGTCCAGCACCACTCCTCGTCCTGAAACAGGGAAATGAAGCGAGACGTTAGGGAAAGGACCGGTAGTTCGCTCGATCTTGCGTAAACGCGAGAAACGAGGCCTGACGGGCTGTGATACGTGCGAACCGGTGGAGCAGCGGAAGGAAGCGTGTCGAACTTCATTTTAACGACTCCCCGCCAAACTGCCGGCATTCTGAATTCCTCACGAATTAAAGTTGAGAGATAGTTCGAGGTTGCGAATGATCAAAGCGGCGGACATTCGCCGTTAAAGCACAGTCCGTAGGGAACGGGACGGGGGTGGATATAGAAAAACCCCGTTGTTGTTTCACCGGGATCGTCGAGCCCTTCGTTCGCTTCGGAACTTTAATTCGACGTTTCACACGTACCGGGATATCCCGCGTTGGAGTTGACAAATTCGCGGGAAGTAATAAGCCCTGCCAGCCGCTTTCGATCTCGCGAGATCTCGGGTACTTTCGCGGGGAAATACGAATCGAGAGATCGCTCGCTGCGAGAATAATTTCGCGTAGTCTTCGGAAACGGGAGGGGACGGTTGCGCCGGTCGGAAACAATTTCGCATAAATCTCTGCCAATTTTTCCACGGCTTAGAGGAGAAAGGGGGGAGGGGGGGGGAGAAAGAGAGGGAAAGAGCCTCCTGCCTCGCAGAGTCGAGATACGATGGTTTATGCAACATTCAGAGCGTATTCGGAGTAAGGAGTTTAAACGATAAAATACACAATGGTGCAATGATACCCGGCGCATGGCAACGTGACGTGTATCACTCGGATGTTACGACGGAAGATGTGGCAAAACGACGCACTGATTTTAAATGGCACGCACTTGAAGACACACCTATCCCGTTCGAGACAAAGCAATAAGTCCGACCCGATCGCTCTCTGGAATATCGAATCATATACATTCGATCTAAACACCCGTCCCGTCCTTGATGCAAGATGCATTATCGCGTGAAGAATGCATAAATGGCATTGCCTGGCGCGACTATAAAATTCTTATCTCACAGACGCGCGAATGGTATATCGAACTTCTCGATATTTCCGAAACTTCGAAACTTAGATGTAATTCTATATTTGACGACGAATATTCGAAGATGAACTATTCGAAGTTTTAAGCACTATTCGAAAATTCGATATATCGGGATTGTTAACAGAATTAATTTTGGGGATTTCAACGAATGTTCTGTACAATTAGAGAGTACCGGTTTAATTAAACTGATAGTTATAAGTATCTTTAGTTCAATTTTGAGATTTGTATTTGTCTAGTTTAAAACGAAGCGAATGAAGAAAACATAAATGATAAACAACAAATGTTATTAAATTTATTTTAAAATAAATGCAAATTTTTCCGTAATACATAACAGTATAACGCAATGAAAGAAAAAATTATACTCACTAAGGCGGTAAATACGATTAAATATGTCTAGAAAATGAACACACGTACTTTCCAGTTTTTGAAGCTTCGGATATTTAAACATTCGAATATCCGAATGTTCGAATTTTCACACTTCAAAATTTCATTATAACGTGTCGAAGGTTCAGAAATTCGAAGTTTCCAAGCTTCGAATAAAATTTCTAATCCTAATCGATATTTCTCTTCGATTTAGAAATATATCGAGCTGCTTCGGATTATCCTAAAAACATAAATATGTGCTTTCCTTAAGATATATATTGAAGATTACAGGTAGAGTCCAGCGAAGATGAAGAAAATCGTTCGGAAAAATGACTTTAGTCGGAACTTTATGGAGAGATCCAGCGAGGATTCGCATTGGATTAGACGTATCCTGTTTCAGGGGATCCTTCGTTGTATCGGTAAGTAGGAAATAAGAGCTCAAGCTCGGGTTGTAAAGGATATATTGACTCGCAAGAGGCGAGATAATATTCCACTGATACTTGAAAAAAAATGCGATTTTCATATTATATTGAAGGACACACAAGATTGCGGGTCGTCGGTTTCCGACAGAAAAAACTCTCCTCTGTCTTTCTTGCTATCTCGCTCTCTTCCCCCGTCGTTCTTCCGCTGTTCCTCTCCACGCGAATATCGAGAATAAAAACGCCGCGGAGAAGAGGGATCTAACGGATTGATCGCTCCAGTTACGGCCGCGGATTCGAGCAAGCCGTCTTTTCATCGGCAATAAAACCCGCCCGGCGCTCACCACCGTGTCCTCTTTCACTCTTTCACTCCCAGCTTCGGTTTCCTGCCTCTCGTACGAAGCGGTGGTATTCGGTGGAAGATAACATGACGAGGTTATTAACCTCATGACGTGATTCCCTCTGCGATTTCGCCGACGAATTCGGGCAGGCGTGAATAAGTTAGGCAATGTTTGAAATATCGATGCGTCGGACCGGAGAATATATTTATAGTGTCGCAAAGTATTAATCATGAAGATCTCCACGTGCACGCGGGCATTTCGCATGAATACTCCGTTGCTCAGACGACAATCGGTCGGTTATGTCGCTAAATCAAACAGTACGGAAGTGTAGCTTTGCCGGATTTATAAAATGCTCGCACAAAAAACAAGTTTCACGCGTAATCCTTCCATAAGAAACGTCAATGGACAGTTAAAAGTCAGTAACCAGGCAAGTGAGAGTCTGACGCCGATGTACGAGCGACCATATTGATATGAGCGGTATTTTCACCAATACAAAAGTTAAGCGAATTAACCATGCCAATATAAATTAAATTAGTCGCACGCTTCGGTCCTGCTTAGGGCCTTCGGCGAAATTAGTTTAATAAAAATACGTCAGCGTCAAAGAACGTGGCATTAAGGAAATGAGGAGCGAATATAGTAAACGATGAAAGTACGAAAAAGTTCGGTTTCGTTTTTTCGCAATAGCAATATGTATCACCATTTATAAGCTGATGAACGTGGTATGTTGAGAGACGAATTCTGTTTACACGCAATTCTTAACGTAAGGTGTCACTGATGATGAATGTATCCGCGGAGTTACCTGGAAAAAGCTGAAAGTGCGTCAGCTGTGCCCGTCGCCATGCCATGTTTTGTTTTAATGTTGCTAGTTGAATCGCTCACTCTCAACTTCCACGTTCATTTTTCCCAGAAACAAACCCCGAGTCCAAACTCGCCTGAACTCCGAAATTTCATTTAATCGTACAAACAGGCGGTAAATAAGATTCCCGTGCAATATAACCTTAATAAAATATGCGGGCATGGTAATCGATAAAAATTGCCAGAATCGTGGTGAAAATTGTTCGGCAGGGTTCCCGCAAATTTTGTATTTGACATCGTTCACCACATACAATCCTCAAATCACATGTGCAATGTCGTAAAATTTTCTAGAAAGGCCGAAAATGATGCACGGAGTCGGTACGTCACGTATTCCGCAGTCGTCGATCCAACCGAAAGTACCGTCCGCCGTACACAACGGGATGACGCGAGAAGTGTCACCTGAAGTTTCTGCAAAAGTCGCAGAATCGAAAGAATTTCGCAATCAAACTCGGAATCTTCGGATCTACTGAGGAGTTCGCATCGTTTTGAGCACGTATCGTCGCAACGACAACTTCTTCGCCCGCGGCCCGTCATAAATACGAGAGTAGAGCATCCGGACGACGAGATCGTTGATGCTGGCTTTGCGACGAAATCGTCCTTTCATCGCCGGCAATATGCGCGTGCACGCCTACACGTGTTCGACGGCGTGCGAGCCATCGCCGTCGTCATCTGCCCGGTTCATCCGCGCGATCGCTCTATTTTCCCAAACCCACCCTCTCCCATGCTTCGGCCTATCTTCTCGCCACCGCTCACGGTGACGTACCTCGCGCGCTCCACGGAGGAAATCTGATAGCGGATCTCTGCCGCAGCTGATGCTGCAAGCACTTCCGCAGCTTCGGCCCCGGAATTCCGGAACCTTGTTTTCTGGCGGTCGCGAGGCGAACTTCGATGCAGGTGTCATGAGCGGAAGAGGGTGGAGAGAGGGACTAACGCGTGTGCGAGATAGAAGGGCCGGGAAAAGAGGACGACGGGAGGAGAGAAGAAAGAGAGAGAGAGAAAGGGAGAATGGAGAGAGATAAAGAGAGGAAGCGAGAGAGAGAGAGAGAGAGAGAGAGATCGGGAGATACCTGCAGAAATCGGTGCATTATGCATGAACGGCAGTTTGATAACCTGGACGTTGTTTCGCCCGGAGAAGCGGCGAGGGCGTCGCGCGATACATGGCGCGCAACATCGCCATACGGATCACACGCGTGCACGGGTCACCATCACCGCGGTGGCATTGCACGTATACACGTGCGCCCGCACACATACAGGCTACGAGCCGGCACCGAGGACGACGTTTATGCACGGCGCTTCCTGCGTTCTACGGCGCCCTGATGCACCTGTGCCACCCCGGTTTACAGCTATGCACACCGGCATCGTCTCTATGCCGCGCTTATACACGCGCCATCTCGCATACCCCCCTTCCATCCCCCCGGTGTATCTCGCTCACCCCCGCCTTTGCGAGTCCGCCCCGCAGTGTTTCGCAGCAGCCACGGAACGCGGCGACGATATACGCGTCTCTCGTCGAGGCGACTTGCCAGGCAACTCCGTCGGCGAGTTAACGCCCGCACGTCGCGGGAAGCACCGGTCGGGAAAACCTGGGCGGTCGGGGCGGTCGATGCTAAACGAGTTCACGCTTCGTTAGCGGGAATACGCGCGCAGATCGCTGTTACCGCGGCTGTCTCGCGCCGTACGGTAACCCGAATCCCCGGGAAACACGCGTTCCCACGCGCCCCCACACGCGCGCTTACGCCGCTTTCCCACGTAGAGGGATTAATTCGCGCGAGACGCGAATGCACGCTGCATTGGGAACGCCGGAGTCCGTCCGCGTAGAAATCCGAAGGATCCGCATTTTCGCGCATCCGCTGTTACTTCGCTCGCCGGAGTCGTCGTTAAAATACGAGCACGATATGCGGCCGATCAAATTTCAACGTCGTCCGAGTGACATCTTTCGTCTGTCATTCACGTTTCGACAGAACGTTTCAAACGTACGATTCTGAGCGGAAAGCATAAACAGATC